TTTCACTTTACTCATGGTTTTAAATTACAAAGCTGAAAAACATGGTTTTAAATTACAAAGCTTCCTTGGAAAACAGACTGTACAACAAACTCGAGGGTTTCTGTTACAAACCTGAGAGTTTCTGTAACAACCTCCTGTATTTCTGTTACAAACTCGAGGGTTTCGCTGCCACTTGAGGGAGCTCAAAGGTAATTTGTGACCTGCAGGGCACCTGGAGTTTTATAATTACAATTTATTTACAGAGATAAAAGGGATAACTTTGGAAAGAAAAGTTACATCTAGCAAAGGCTTGTGGATGGAGGTTAAATGTAGGGTTGTTTCCTCGCTAATTAGACCAATTATTTCAGGATACCATGGTCATACCACCCCAAACCAGCCTCCCACCATCATTCTCAGAAGGAAACCGCTGAGGAATGTCGGGACACGCTGGATCCAGGGCTGGTGAGGGAGAGGAAATACAGAGACAGAGGCAACAGCACTGACCTTTCTGTGGCTCAGAGCTGCTTCCCAAAGCCTCTCCTGCTCCATGTCCAGCATATCTTCACCACAGGAATCTCAGAGATGTTATGTTGTGGTTTGAGGACGATACCCCTCAGCAACAAGAAATTATAGGCACCAAATCCAGGCTGTTGCACCCGACAAAGTTAAACTTCAATCCGTAGAGTGCCAAAATATTATCATCAAAAAAATAATCCTTGGTACTATTTTCAAAGTCAGTTCAGAAGCAGAGAGAAGGTAAATGTAGAGAATTGGTAGCTGAAGCTGGAAAAGGCACCTAACACACACTTTTCAATGCTTTATCGCTGTCTTTAACACTACTTTGATTAATACCTCGATTTTATTCTTTGAACTATGATATTCTCATATGAATTTCAAACCAAGCTAACGTGTAACTCATATGGGCAGTGTCAAGGTACCAGCACTTTGGCAACAGGATCCCACAGAAACTCCCTCCTTTAATTTGTGAGCAGTTTTATCCTTTATTTAAAGGAAGATCCAGAAAAGCAGATTTTTATCTTCTGAGTCTCAAAAAGGCTTTTTCACCCCATAGGAAAAGCAATAGGCAAAACCACACAGTGAACAAACATATTAAACTGCTATTTCTGATGTGGGATGATAATATTTTGGGCAGGATTCAGCTGTGTGTGCCAATGGGAAGCATGGAAGTGACCAGTATTCAGAGGCTTTAGGGGTGTCCTCACCAAAGCTCTTGTTGGCTTGACTTGATTTAATCAATTAACCAAAATCTCAGCAATCTTTCAGGCTGCCTTGGGGATCAGGATTTCATCCTGTGTGTTTTTGTCACAGAGTTTTGTACACTAAAGACCCAAAAATTCACTCTACAAAAGTACTTTTGAGAGCTTCTGACAACTTGTCTGTGCCAAGTGGGATGACAAAGGATTCATGGAAAAATAAATGCTCATCCTAGAATGGCTTCCTGACTCTCTGCCACGTTACCAGGAGGATTTTAAGCACTGGTTTATGATCTTCTAGTCCCATTTTAGTCTATTAAGTCTCTGTAGCATGACAGTCCAAGGCTTCCTTACTGGAAGAAATTCAGTGGGTCACTCCTGTTATCAATATGTAACAAACAAAATGACAGAATCTCCTTCCTTTTCCTGTAAAACCAGTGAGACAAAGCCATGGCAGCCCTTACAATCTCAAAGGTGAATATTGTTCAGATCTCCCCTCTAATTTTATTATTTAAACTCAAGAATCCCGAATTTGCCTTTTTTATTTAAGTCTGTGTCACCCTGAAAACTTCAAGCTCGTGGTTTCATTAAGTCTTGGATTTTTTTTGTTCTCTCTTCTTCCCGCTCTTGGGAGACCAGAAATCCATCTGAATTTGCTTATTCTAAGTGAATTTCTTATTCTTAAGAAATAAATGGATGAGTGTTAAAGTCCATGAATCCTTGTCATTCATCCTTAATAGCATCAATTACATTAATGCCACTCTCCCACACTCTATTACTATCATACAAAGATATGCAAAGAAGGGAGGATTAAACTATTTAAGTTACTTTAAAAGCTACTTAAATCATTTAAAAATTATTACCTTCTGTTACTCCTAATCATCCACTGAGGATAATTAATTTGGCACCAAAACAGCCAATGTAATGGGGAGGATTCCTCAAGTGGAGCAGAGCTGGGGCAGGTTCCAGTGCCACGAAGGGTTTCTGTGCTTTCCGTCATTCTGGAGGGATTTTCCACAAACCTGAAACACCTGCAATTTTATTATATTTATATTCAAACGTGTCAGTGTGTTTTTCATGTTCTTTTCATGGCCGTGTGCTTAAATATTTCATATTAAACAAGACTGGGGTTGTAGTTTATTTTGTACACTTTATCAGGAGAGTAAGAAATTACGGCTGTGTGCTGGAATATTTAACAGCAGAAAAAGAAGATTTTTTCCATTTCTATTTGCCATGCCACCCTTTTCTTCCCAGTCCCTTCCATCTTCACCTTGGATACAACCTTGCTGTGCCTGGAGCTTAATGGCTGAGATGTTCCCTGTGAGTTAAGCCCCAGATGATTCCCACATGCATTGCAGGTGAGTGTTTATGTCACAAATAAATACAGGAGATTGCTC